TAAGTATTTTATTAGATTTAATATAATTTTTTATATTAGAAACTATAAAAACTATAAAACTATAAAACTACACTATAGTTAATGCTCTGTATATAAGATAATAGGCTTTATAGCCTATAATTTTAGCTCTAGCTATTAAAGAAGCCTTATAAAAGCTATAACTTTCTTTTTAATAGCTAATAGAGCTAGTAATTTAGCTTTTATAGGTAAGGTAATTATAGTAGCTTATTTAATAGAAGCTTAATTAATTAGGGCCTTATATAGCTAAATTAAAAGGCTTTAAGTAAACCTTCTAGTAGCTTTATTATTAGTAAATACTATATTAGCTACTATAATTAGCTTTATTAAGCTATTTCTATTAAATTTAATAGTCGTATATTTAATAAGATATAAGTATTAAATAATCTTTTTAATAAGCTTTAAGTGCTATTAGCTTAAATTAAATAAGTGTTATAATAGCTTAAAGCTAATTAAAGTAATATTAAGTTAGGTTTTAATTATAAAGTAACTAATAAACCTAATAATAGTCTAATATTAATAGATTTCTTAAGAGCTAACTTACCTTAAATTAAGCTTAAGTTATTACTCAATTATAGGGATATTTAAGCTCTTATAATTAAAGATATCCTTTAAATTAAGAAATCTAGTAGCTATTTTATTAATATAGGTATCTTATAATAGTTATAGCTTTTAATTAGCTTAATCTCTTATAATTTAAGTGCTTAAAAATTATTTTAAGTCTCTTAAATCCTTTATTTTATAAGTCTCTTTTAAACCTTTAATAATTAAAAAAGCTATATTTTTTAAAGCTTTAAAATAAATAAAGGTAATATTATTAACGTAAATAAAAACTATAATACCTTAATTATCTTTATAAATATAAGAGTTTTCTTTTAATTAAAATAAGCTTTATTCTTTAAGAGTTTTTAAGATATTATTATTTTATAATAAGAGAGACCTTTAAAGGTTATATAAAGCTTATAATAGCTTTAATACCTATTTAAGCCTTTTAAAGCCTTTAAAGTATTTAATATAAACCTCTTTATTTAAATAATTATTTATAAGGTATCTTATAAAGCCTATTTAATAAGGGAATAAGCTTTATAATTATAAACTTATAAAAAGCTTATATTTAGCTTTAATTAATTAATATAATTAATATTTAACTTATTTTTAGTAAGTTAAGTATATAATTTTTTAAAAGGTATAGCTTATATAATAGTATTTTTAGAGCTTTTATAGCACTTAAAAGTCTTATTATAAAGAAAAACAGCTATTAGCTAAAATTTAAGCTATGATTTAATAGGTAAATTAAAAGATACTTATAAGATTTTAATTTTAATAGCTATAATACTCTTTAAGCGTTTTACTAGGCTATTTTAAGTAAGTATATAAAGTATTATAAGCTTATCTTTAATACTTATTTTAATAAGCTAAGCCTTATAATTTAATTAAAAGCTTAAATTATTATCTTTATAAATAATATATATTTTCTATTAAAACGAATTAAAATACTAAAAATAATAGGTAAATAAATATAATTATAGTATAATTATCTTTAGTTAATTATAATAATTAATACCTATTATAAGCCTTTTTTAGCTAAAATATATTAATATATAGCTTATAAAAGGGTTTTAAGCTTAGGTTAAAAGGCCCTTTAAAAGGTATTTTAATTACCTTTATTAGCTTATAAAACTTACACTAGAATTTAGTAGAAAGGTTATCAATTTTAGCGCTTTGAATTATCTCTAGTAGTTGTTTTAAGGCCTGTAAATTCAGGTAATTTAAGCGTTTATACCAGAGCTTAATAGAGCCTTTAGCTTTAATAGGTACCCTAGAATTATAGAAGGTAGCTACTATATTCGGGTTAATTTAGTTGCTAAAGACTATTATAAGCGCTCTAACCGCTATATTTAGGTCTATTTAATCGCTAAAAGCCGCTATAAGCTAGCTCTAAGCAGCTTAAATTAGGCTTTAAATAGCTTTAATTAGGCTTATAGTAATATTTAGGCTTTAAAGGCCGTTAATACTAGCTAAATTAGCTGCTTTTAGTGCCTTATATTAGATAATAAGCTGCGTAAAATAGCGGGTTATATAAAATAGCGTTTTAGCGCTTTTAGTAACGCTTCTAGTAGCTAGGTTTTAGTTATAACTCGCTTATAATAAAAGGTTTAAGTTTATTAAACTCGTGTAAAAATTAGAGATATAAGCTTTATTTTTTAGCTTAAAGAAACCCCTTATAATCTCTATAATAACTCTTTTATAGCCTTATATTTTTAGGTATTTAATACTTAAAAGGTTTCTCTCTTTTTACCTCTCTTTATATTTTTATTTAACCTATAAATTATTTAAGTTAAGTTTAAGCTACCTTTATATTAAATCTAGCTTAGGCCTAAGCTACTAGCTTAAGCCTATAATAGTTTTAACTTATAAAAGGTTTAGAGTAGCTAACCTTATAGCTTATAAGTTATTATATAGGATAGTAGGCTTTATAACCTATAATTTTAGCTTTAACTATTAAAGAAGCCTTATAAAAGCTATAACTTTCTTTTTAATAGCTAATAAAGCTAGTAATTTAACTTCTATAAATAAGGTTATTATAATAGCTTATTTAATAAAAGCTTAACTAATTAAAGCCTTATATAATTAAATTAAAAGGCTTTAAGTAAACCTTTTAATAGCTTTATTATTAATAAACGCTATATCAATTACTATAATTAGCTCTATTAAGCTATTTCCATTAAATTTAATAGCGGTATATTTAATAAGATATAAGCATTAAATAACCTCTTTAATAAGCTTTAAGTACTATTAGCTTAAATTAAATAAGTGCTATAATAGCTTAAAGCTAGCTAAAGTAATATTAGATTAAGTTTTAACTATAAGGTAATTAATAAACCTAATAATAGTTTAATATTAATAGATTTCTTAAGAGCTAACTTACCCTAGGTTAGGCTTAAGTTATTACTTAATTATAAGAATATTTAAGCTCTTATAATTAAAGATATCCTTTAAATTCGGAATTTAATAGTTATTTTATTAATATAAGTATCTTATAATAGCTATAGCTTTTAATTAAATTAATCTCTTATAATTTAAGTACTTAAAAACTATTTTAAGTCCCTTAAATCCTTTATTTTATAGGTTTCTTTTAAACCTTTAATTATAAAAAAAGCTATATTTTCTAGAGCTTTAAGATAAATAAAAATAATATTATTAACGTAAATAAAAACTATAATACTTTAATTATCTTTATAAATATTAGAGTTTTCTTTTAATTAAAATAAGTTTAATTCTTTAAGAGTTTTTAAGATATTATTATTTTATAATAAAAGAGACCTTTAAAGGCTATATAAAGCTTATAGTAGCTTTAATATCTATTTAAGGCTTTTAAAGCCTTTAAGATACTTAATATAAACCTCTTTATTAAGATAGCTATTTATAAATATATTAATAGTATTTAATTAAATAGCTTTTAGGTTAAATTTAACTAATATAGCTATTAATAGCTTAAAAGACTTAGCTATTAGTATAGCTATATAGGTATCTTTATTATTATAAGGCTATTAGTTCCCTTTAACGTAAATTTAAGCTTTATAACGCTTTAAATAGCTATATTTATTAAGCTTATATTTAAAGACTTATATAGTATTTAAAGCTCTTATATTTACTAGATTTTTAAGCTTTTTAATTTATATAAGCTAAAATATACCTTTATTTTAATTTATTTAAAATTCTAGGGTAATTATCTCTTTAAATTACTTATTAAATAAATAGCTAGTTAAATTAAATTATTTTTTAGGTTCTAAGAGTAAATTTTGTTTATAAAGGCTTTTCTTAAAAGCTTTAAAGAAGCTACTTATATCAGCTTACTTATTAGACTCTTTTTAACTTAGCTTATTTTCTTAATTAAGCTTAGCTTAACCTTTTTAAGCTTAATTCATTAATTTTAGCGTTAAATAACCTATATCTTTTAACTTAAATTAATCTTTTAGCTTAAAGAAATTTAATATATTATTAAATAAATGTTTTTCCAGCTATTTTTTTAAATTAAATAAACGTTTTTCCGATTAAATTAATTAATTCTATTTATGTTTAATAAATATTAATAGATTTATAACCTATTAAATAGCTAATTTTAGTGTAATTAGCTAATTTTAATACTCTTTTTTAGGTATCTTATAAAGCCTATTTAATAAGGGAATAAGCTTTATAATTATAAACTTATAAAAAGCTTATATTTAGCTTTAATTAATTAATATAATTAATATTTAACTTATTTTTAGTAAGTTAAGTATATAATTTTTTAAAAGGTATAGCTTATATAAATATAATATATAATACACTTGTATTTACTATATTCGTAAGAGCTCTAAGCTTATAGAGGTATATTAGGCCCTATTTTTCAGTGCCTTAGCTACTAGATTAGGCATTTTAGGTGCTCTAAGCGCTAGATTAGCCTTTTAAAGGCTCTTAATAGCCTATAAAAGCCCCTTTTTAGTGTAAATTTTACTAATTTAGCTAATTTTACTAGTTTTACTTAAATAGATCCGCTATCTTTTACCTATTAGGTATTTTAGCCTTCTAATTTAGCTTATTTTACTAGGCCTTATCCCAGACACAATTAATCTAATAGCTAGAAAAGCTAGGATTTATAGAGCTTATAGCTTCTAAAAAATTAATAGTTAATTTAAGGCCTTTTATATTTAGTAATTTAAGCTTTGTAGCTCCTATTAAGGCCTTCTAATAGCTCGTTATTTAGGTTTATAGTTTCGTGCGTTTTAAAGCCTTTAGAAGGCCTTTATAAGCCTATAAAACCTCTCTTTAATAGTTCTAAAAGGCTAGTTTTAGCCTATCTTTTAGTGCAAAACCAGCCGCCAGGAAATCATTGCTCGTGGCCAGTATTGGGTATCCAAGCACGTCCCCTACTCTATGAGGCTACTTACCCCGACCAGCACGGCACCCGCTACAGGACCGACTGCTCCGGGTTCGTCACCATGGCCCTTCACGCCACTCCTCCCGGCTACAACACCGTGAGCCTGCCCGAGATCGCCAGGCCGATTACGTAGCTTCAGCCCGGCGACTTGGTTGGTACTCTTGGGCCCGGAACTGGTGGCGCTGCCGGTCACGTCACCCTTTTCTATTCTTGGGCCGACGCGTCCAAGACCTCGTACAACACTCTTGAGTGCAGGGGCGGCGCTGGCTGTGTTGCCTACAAGCGCCCTGTTGGCTGGACTGATGGGCCTTACACGGCTAAGCCTTACAGATATATTCACGTTGAGTAGGGTAAATGACGAGGAGAACACTGTACTATTCTCACTGTTGTATTATCGATATAGGTGCGTAAAGCTGTTGTTTATTAAAACATAGTTTCCGAGGGCTATCAAGAGTTACTGTGTTGCTTTGTCTGTCGTCCCCGGGCCAATTCATCAGTATAGAGTCTAACCATTAACCACAGGAAAATGATATGGTATCTACTATTGCCGAAGCATATTTATAAAATAGATTTTATTCTATAGTTGATTTGAAATGTTGCTACTCTATTCAGTATAAATAATCCTATCATCCCGTGATGGCCCGGTACCAATCCAGCCACTTTTTACGCCAACAAGCTGTTCAATAAATTCAACATACTCACGGGCCAGTTTGGGCAGCTCGTAGCAAAAAGTGCCGCCGTTGCGGCCGCCAAGCTGTGTTCCAGTTATTTACTCATGCTCACCTTGGAGAGGAGCCAAGGGGCGAGCAACGCGTCCATGCTACCTCGGTTTCCTCGAGTCCATCAACAGCAGAAGGAGCGCAAAACTGACCTAGGCGCGATCAGAGACGAGAATGCGATCTTTGGTATCCAAGCCTTTGTCTTGAAGCTCTACAAGCTCCTTAAAGAAACTGGCAACGTGGAGCCCCACACTGGAAACAATGAGGTTGATACAGCTAGGGTTTACGAGACCAGAAGGCAAGAGGTAGAAATGAGGTTGTTTTGTTAACATTAGGGCAAGTATCAAAGAGGGACAAAAATATGCCATTATCTGAAGGAAACATCATTTGCCCTACAATATGAACAATACCAGATGCCATGTCATTCAATCGGTGGGAGCCTGAGTAGTAACGCACACGATTTTATACTTGAATTCATAATGAAGCAGTGGGAGAACGTCACTACATGGAACAATATATTTTCCATCAACTGCCGCAGTTCTCACACATGGAAACCCTGTATGGCTGCAGCGTGCTGAAGAAGACAGATTTGGCTGGAGCCTAAAGGTTTAGCCAAGTACAAATACCCGGAGCTCAAGTCCACCCTGCTCACTGCGGCCTCGTCCCAATTTGATCATCCCAAGCCGAGAGCGGTGGTATTCCTGTCGAAAAAGATATCTGCCGGGACAAACGTCATGAGCCAAGCCTTGGCCTGTCTTCAGTGCCATCGACCTATGGCTTCCTGACACACGAGTTGCCCTTGTAGTACTCATTCAACTTGCAGCACCTGGAGTCGGCGTTGCCCTCGTTCCAGGCAGAGTATTCGCCCTGACCCCAATCACAGACGCCACGGTAGCAGGGCATAACCTTGGCCTTACCAGGGAAACATCGGCCGTTGATGGCCTTCTCGCCTGGGGCACAGCAAATAGGATTGCTAAGAGCGCCACCGCTCCCGTCACCAAAGACGGTAACGTTAACGGTACACTGGGACTTGGCGCCAGAGCACACAGTCTTTCCGTCTGAGCAGGCATTGGAGCCGGGTTCGACACATTTGCTTTTGCCGCTGGCGTCGACAGCACACTGCGACTTGGTGCCAGAGCACACAGTCTTTCCGTCTGAACAGGGATTGGAGCCTGGCGCGACACATTTCCCATGGACTGCGACCTGACCGCGGGCGCAGCAAATGCTTTTGCCGTTGGTGTCGACGGCACATTGGGACTCGGGGCCAGAGCAAATAGTCTCTCCGTCCGAGCAGAGCTGGGATCCCCGACTCACACATTTTCCATTGAAAGCAATCTGACCCGAGGCACAGCAAAGAGTTAGGGTGGCGTTAGCACCGTCCGGGGTGCACTGGGGACTGTCATTGTTGCAGTAGACGCCGGGGCAGAAGCATTGGTTTGGCCAGTTTTGAGCGATAGCTAGGTCGAGCAGACCGAAAGCGAGAGCGGCGGCTTGGATGAAGCGCATTTCGGGAAGGTTACGACGGGATAGTATAATGATGTGAAATTTGGATGGGATGATGTTGTGACTTGGTGGTGATGGAGATGCAGTAGCCTTTAATATGACGGGTGATCGCTGCTCTTTTATATCTTTTTCGACGGCTGCAGTCCTGGGCCGGTCGGGCTATCCGCGAATATCTCTCTGCATCGTTCCATTTCTACAGAGACGGAGCTGTGTTTCGATTTTGTTCAGTTATACATGTGCAGCTATGGTTTTGACCATGCCGAGTACGGAGTCTCATGTTCTGATTTTGCTCAACTATACATATGCAGGTATAAGAAATGGGCAGGCCCGACGAGAAACTGCCGCCAGTTGTACCAAAACAGATTGTTAGGGCCACTATCATGTGCCAGTTTTTTTTTTCCCTAAAATTGTCATCGTCTAACTGGTTTCGGACTCCTGTAGCGCAAAATTCTTTACTATTTTGAACTGATTGATATACACCGATATCCGCCTATCTTAATTGACAAGGAACCGAGACAATAGGTTTCCTATAATAGTAGGAGCTAGTTAAGGCTAAACGCCAATGGCACAACGCTTTCAGCAACTTGCAATACAGCCACGGTGGCGGCTGGAAAACCTTGTAGGTGGCAGCCAAGCCAGGCTAATGGACATACAGGCCACAGAGTAAGCACAGGGTTTAAAGTTCCAGGAAAGTAAGGGAACAATCTTTCTAACGCAGTCGAAAGAGCTAAAGCCTGAGTGTATAATGCCTCAGACGTCCAGACAGCGGGCACCGCGGCAACGAAGTTGTGAACGAGTCAGAAAGTGTCCGGTTGTTTTTTTTTTTCTAAAAAAAAAATCCAGAAAAGGGTTTTTAACTGATTTGCGGGGGAATTCCCGCGGATATTAAGTGACTACTTTACGCGTATGACAAACGACTGTGACCATGTGAAATGTATCACGGCCGGATCGGACCCGCCTAGGATACATTTAGATAGTTATGCGAGATCTAACTGAAAAGATCCCCCAAGTGGAGCTGATTACACCACCGGATAATTTACTCCATAGTCTATATAGGACGACCTGCTATGTAGGACGACTTATCATACGACTTTGTTAAGGGCTAAGCCTAAGATAGTTCGACTTTTGCTCTCGTCTATCGGCCCAACCGGTTCTTAATTCTATCCCTTCTTTAGTTTTGGATATGTTAAAGTCATCTAGTCAATTATTAGTATCCACTCTAGGGCCTTTACAGGTTTACTCCTATGCGCTTGTGACAAGGGCTTAATAGAGGGCTTGAAGCAAAAGGGCTCAATTCAATGATAATCTTGTAGGATGTCAAAGGTCCTTGGTTCCTCCAAGCTAGAAGGCGAGGGGAGACCACCTTATATACATGAAAGGAACGGCCCGTGCCTAGTGTGCCCCATAGTTCTCGTGATCTCCTTGTGTAACAAAGGGCTTCTAATCCTTGCTTGACCTAATCCGTGTGACATGCCGCCTCCTCACGCCTGAGGAACCGCCATCATGGGCGGATGAGACAAAGCCCTTCTAATTATATGGAAGTATTATGCGGGATTTTTACTGACTCTTTCCTAGAATTTAGCCAAATATGCAAAAAAATCGACCAAGGCGTCACTACAAGCATCACCACAAGCGGTACTACGAGGTCTCACCGCAAGTATTGTAACAAGGATCGGCTCAATAAAGGATGACTCACTAAGGGCTATCTATATATGACATGATATTTCACGAAATATATGGTGTAGCCATCTGCCTTCAATGTTCTAGTTCCAACGAACGGATCGATCATATCCCAGGGCAATGGAGCTACCACTACAGTATATCAAGGGTCTATGATGGCGGTTCAGGTTGGAAAAAGATATGCCAGGCATGCAAAGCCATGAGACAATAGAATGTACTAAGAAGGGACAGCAGTATATATTTGACTAATCAAATGTTAAACAGCAAGGAATTGAGCAATTGGTGCCAGTGTGACAAGGGCTCGTTAGAGGGCTTGAAGCAAAAGGGCTCAATTCAATGATAATCTTGTAGGATGTCAAAGGTCCTTGGTTCCTCCAAGCTAGAAGGCGAGGGGAGACCACCTTATATACATGAAAGGAACGGCCCGTGCCTAGTGTGCCCCATAGTTCTCGTGATCTCCTTGTGTAACAAAGGGCTTCTAATCCTTGCTTGACCTAATCCGTGTGACAGCGCTAAACGAATTCTTTTAATAGATAGCTGCTATCTTCTAGTATATATACAACTTCACCTCCCCCATTATGCTGCTTGACTTTTAGAAACGACTTGAATATTAACTTGTTCACTTCTTAGTCTTTTTCTTCCTTCTCTTTTTAAAGTCCTACACATTTCGTCCAACATATAAATAGACTCAAAGTTAACTCCATGTAAACGCTTTGTCAGTCCACCGAATGATCCTCAGGTCTATTAATGTGACCAGCGCAAGATATCGTCGCCGCTAGTCGATCGAATTCAGGGACATCATCCGCACCAAGCCCAGGACCGCGCCCCTCCACGACTCCCCCTTGCTATTCCCCACTTTCAAGGCAGAATACTGCATCTATTTAAGGAATTTGTATTTGCCTTCAGTGGTAAAGTTATATGCGAGGAGTGTGCGAAGGAGACGGGCCGTAGATATATAGCGCAAAGGTCCACCGAACAAACGATTCCACCTGTTCTATACTCAATAATAACACTTCCCGCAAGAGAGAACCCCCCCGGAGGAGTGAAGCGTGTGCCCCGCGTGGATATGATAATATTAACTTGCTTTACTACGGTATCCATAAAGAGACATGGCTATCGTAATTAGAGTCCAGTTTAAGTGGAGGACTCGAGAGAGCGAACCACTGCGAAGGTTCCAATCCGTGTCATCCGATCTGCGTCCAAATTGCCCGCCACTCCACACCTTTGCAATGTTAGTGAGGCAAAATGTGACCTCTTTTCGGGTCCATAAAGTGTCCCTTGTCTGTCTCCAACTAGGTATAGGGGAGTGGCTCTAAGATCTGTTGGACTAGTGGCTGTCACTCCCAATATATTACGTCAAGCAAGGACAGCATCTGAAATACAACATTGAAATGCTACTAACCGCTTACACCCTCTTTTAGTACTAGCTTATTCCGCAATGGTAGCTGCCTAGCCGGGGGACATTTCGAAAAGTTGGCGAATGCAAACAGAAAGAGAAGAACAGGCCAACACTTCATTAACTTACCACTTGCGAATGTTCCACCCGCTGATGATTAAAACCTCGTCGCTGCTAATGAATAATACTAATTTAGCTAAAGAGAGAATAGCTTTAACCGTACTCCTTAGAACTAGCTTAGTGTTGCAAGTCACAGCGTATTAAAGTCACCGGCATATTATGTTGCAAAACTTAACGAGGCTCAAAAAAAAAAGAAAAAACATACAACACCAGGTATTCGCTGGTCATCACTAACCCAACTACTAATCCGGCGCTCGCTGGCTTATCGTTACGAGATCAGACGGGATACCGCGTCCGAATTTTAAACTCGCCTGACCTACCCGAAACGCCCGCTTGGACCCGCTTTTCCCGTCCTCTTCGTTTCCCCATCCTGCCACCGTTTTAGCGCTCTGTCCCGGCTTTCCACTCCGATACCGAAGCGCCGGGTAATAGACGAGACCGCACGCCGCGTCGTAGTAATACACACTATTATGTTACTTGTTTTTAACCCTGGCCTTCGCATGAAATCCTCGCTAGACTCTAGGGAGGCGCTTGACGCTATTACACCCTTTCTCTCCCCTAGTTTTATTAATAAGTCTTTTTTTATATTAGTCCTATCGCAGGTTTATATTTAATTCGCCTTAGTGGTAATATACCGTATTAATTAACCTATAATTATTCTACCTAAAAATATATACGTGTACTTAAAGTATTAATAAGAAAACTATATTTTTAATTTTTTAAAAAACTTTAATTTT